AATCCCAGGACCCTGGGATCATGACCTGAGCGGAAGGCAGAGGCTTTAACTCACTGAGCCACCCAGGTGCCCCGAATAAATAAAATTCTTTTTAAAAAATAAATAAATAAATAAGAGTGGCTGACAGAGACATCAGGTTAAAATACACATGTCCTCAACCACAGGACTTGTGGAGGAGAGAATCAAAAGACTCGTAGGAAAACCTCAACAAAGCTGATCAGGGAAAAGACCTACATATTTTGGGAACAAACAAGGGAGAATATAACTAAAGGTGCAGACAAGATTTAAGAGCTAAGTAAGTGCTATAATTTTATATCAGTATATTTGAAAATGCAAACAATTTTCTAGGAAAATTAAATTACCAGCATTTACTCAAGAGCAAATAGACCTGTAATCATTAAATCAGCAGTCAGAACATAAAGCCAAAATAAAAGTACCATTCCACAGTCAACTTCAGAGGTTAGTTTCATCAGACTTTTTAAAAAAAACAGGCAATCCCCAAATATATTTTGTAGTTGACTTTTCAACCAGGACCCGGAGAGGGGGAGGGGAGCAACACCTTTACCCTGCAGAGGGGGTGAGAAATGCAGTCTTTCCTCTGGATACAATGAAAACAGGTGACACCTGAGGTCCCAGGATGCTGGGAGGTGGCCAGCAAATCCCAGCGCCAGGATGCTGGCTACTGTCCCAGCCCTGCCTTGTGGATTCAGTGACTGGAAGGGCAGTAACATTCATTAGAGAGAAACCAACATCTTGAAGAACTGCTTTCCTGCTCATCTGAACAAATAAAGAATAAAGCCTAAAAAACAAATAATAACAACAGCAACAACAAAACCCAGACAGCCCCTATTTTACATCAACTTTTCCAGGGAACAGAATGGAAAAGCTCCTTGGTTCCTCATGGGATGCTGGTCTAACCTTTCCTGCATCCTGAGACAATTAGAGCCCTGTTTCTTTAACACAAATGCAAAAAGTCTACATAAATCATTAGCAAACTGAATCTGCCCATGTAATTATTGAATGTGTATATCATAAATGTCATAAATTCTAAAGTAATCATCATCTATATGTTTGATAAAATTCTAATCAAAACCCCCAAGGAATTTTTTACAGCTTAAATTTATGTAAAAAGCAAATGGCTTAAGATATCTAAGAAGAATAAGGAGGGTAGATTTATTAGATACTAAATTTTAATATGTGGTAGAGTAAAATGGTATAACCACTTCCCCAAACAATAAATCAAAGCCTCATCAGGAAAAAGCCCTTTGCTTCCCACATCTTGTGCCTTAGGAATGTGGATGTAAGGCCTGGAGATACAGCCTCTAGTTTGTGGCTGTGAGGCAGCAACCTGGAGGTATATTCTCCTGTTGGATGTTTAGGCTGTTTCCAGCCTAGGGTTATTAAGGATAAAGTTGCAGAGGACATTGTCATACAGTTTGTTGATGACCTTCTTTTCATCTTGGTTAAGCACCTACAAGTAAAACTGCTGGGTTGTGGAGCAGGGTATATGCTTAATTTCTAGGACTGTCCAATAATTTTGCAAAAGATGGCTTTCCAGCCTCCCACGTTTCTCTCACTGCCCAGATCTGTTGCAGGAGCCCCAGCCAGCTGCGTATGTTAGTTTGGGCACACACTGAACAAAGTTAAATGTTTGTAAAGGAGGAGGAAGAAAGGCACAAGAAAGTGTCAGCTCTGTCTATGCTATTGTTTCTTCTGAAATAACTCTGAGGCATATGGTAACATCTTAAATCTGTTCAACCTAAGTGGAAGAGACTGAAGTATATGCTGTATGTTTGCAGTATTTCACATTTGTTTTTAAAGATTTTGTTTAGAGTCCCTGCAAGTGGGGGGAGAGAGAGAGGGAGGGAGAACTTCAGGCAGACTGTGTGCTGAGCGCGGAGCCTGACGCGGGACTTGATCTCACAACCCAGAGATCGTGACCTGAGCTGAAATCAAGAGTTAGACACTTAACTGACTGAGCCACCCAGGCTCCCCAATATTTCACCTTTTAGAATGAAATGTAGCACAAAGTAATGGCAGATAGTATTCAGAACGTGAGTGGCAGTGATTTGGTGCCATTCTGGTCATAGAGACGTGGATGGCAGGAGAGCGTGCATGTGTCCCAAGTCTGTGAATGACAGCAAGTTTTGCAAGGCCGGAAAGCAGACTATGGAAGGTGAGCGTCCACAGGAATAACAGGCCGTGTATGATGACCTCAGAAGACAGAAGTTGTCAGCAATCATGAATTTGAAGGTCAGAGAAGGTTGAAGAGGACTGATTTTGACTCCGCCATCAGTGTTGTAATAAAGGCAGTCAGGGACAGCTGGGCGGCTCAGTCTGGTTAAGTGTCTGACTCTTGGTTTCGGCTCAGGTCATGGTCTCCAGGTGGTAAAATCAAGCCCTGCATTGGGCTCTGTGCTAAGCCAGGCGTAAGCTTGGGATTCTCTCCTGTGCCTCTCCCCACCTCCTGTGTGCACACATGCGCTCGCTCTCTCTCTCTCTCTCTCTCTCAAATCTTTAAAAGAAAAGAAGACATTTGTGGAAAGTACCAAGTATGAACTTTTAATGTGAAATTGGTGATAAAATGGTAACTACCACACGTTTTTCATGAGTCACCGATCGTCGCTGCAGGGAATAACCCATAGTCGACCTAACACCTTATCTGTCATTGAAAGCAGTACCTGAATATAACAGTACATTGTTCATGGACAGTCTTTCACTCACCGCCTCTGATTGCCTTTAGATCACTATGGGTTTTATGGAAGAAATGGCTCTTTTCCACAGTTACTTTTTTTTGGTGTAGCTACCTACCTGTCCGGCATCACACAAATGAAAATGTTTTTGTGTTTTTCTGATTCGGGGCCTTGGACTTTGAGCAAATGAAGTAGGAAGTCCCATACTAAGCAGTATTTGTGTATTTTCCCTTCTCCTGGCTGTGTGCCTCTGAATACTCAAGTTTTTCCTAGAAAATACTTTCTGAGGGCGGCAGATCATATATCATATCTATTTCAACAAACGTACTCCTGGTGAAGAGATGCTTCCTTCCTAATCTACAGACACGAGGCCTCTGGCTGGCCTGCGCGGTCTGCCCTTCCTCCTGTATTATGTATGCGGTAGGCCCTACACACCCACTGGGGGGCAGAGCCAACGCTTTCTGAAACATTTTACCAAACATTCTGCTTGACACTAGTTTTCTTAAGTTTTTATTTTGGTGGTGGAGGCTGGGCAGCTTTGTAGGTGTGCTTACAAATTTTCTTGGTGTTACTGCTCTCAGTACTTCTTAGATATCTTTGCTATATTTTTCTCTTCCTATGTGCTTTAATGACATCTGTTAAAGTTTGCATGTCTTTTTTAAATGAATCAAAAATTCAGTTTCTATTAGCTTTTTAAGGAATAAAAAGTCATAGGTGGTAAATCGATACTTCCTTCTCATCTGTACCAGAAATGGTAGGTATAGAACTTTAATCTGGTTGTCAGCTCTGAGGTTTTTTTGTTTGTTTGTTTGTTTAATATTTGCCTTCATGTGATTTGGGAGAAAGCCCTTGGGCCGCATTCCCCCGTAGCCCGTGCTGTCTGCGATTTGAAGGGAGCACGTGTGAGTGGAGATGCCCCGGGGATGCAGGCTCCAGGTGGCAGCTCCCTGACTGCCCTTCTCGGTGGCACAAATGGAAAACCTGAAAGCAAGACACCCACATAGGTTCTAGAGGTGAGAGTGACTTCCGTATGAAGAAAGGCGGGCTTTTGAGAGCAGCATGCAACCATGACCCAGAGCCAGTCTGTAGTGATGCAGCAGTGATGTCTTTGTGTGAATTCCACGGAAGTTACATGGGAATACCCAGAAACACGTGCACTAGGACCCATCAGGCCAGAAGAGCGGGCCACAGACAGTGCGACAGAAAGCTTCTCTGCCCTTCAGGCCTTGAGCACCTCCCTCTTCAAAAAGCAACAAATTCTAGTTTAAAAAAAAGAAAAAGGCATCTAGCTTAACCACACTTCACACAGCCTCTCCCGGTTTCTGATAAAACACCTGAGAAAACGCAGAACAGGCTGGAAGCCCACTCTGGGGCCAGCAGAATGGAATGGAACGTAGGGTGGGTTGCCTCTTGGGCTGTGTCCTTGCTGAAAGCAGGTGGGCCATCTTTGTCTGCACCCCGCCCTGGCTCTGGAACACAGAGTGGGTGCCACCCAGAAACAGGGGCCTGCCCTCAGCGTCCCGACTTCTGAGTCTGCTGTGGTATTGCCGCTGCTCCTAATTCTCCGGGCAGAGAGGGCGAAAATTTGTAATGAGGCCAACAGCATCCCAGGGCAAATGCATAAAGGAACAGAAAGTGCAGTACTAGGGTGAAGAAAATGGATCTTGTAGCAATGTTAATATCGGTGGTCATTTTTCAGTTGTCAGCCCCTTAAGAGTCACCAAATTTGACAGTTACCAGGCTCACTTTACATCCTAAGCGCTCCGCTCAACAGTTTGGATTGGAAGGAAAAGAGGGATTGCAGCCAGGAAGGCATTTGGGACAGAAATCACATCTGTTTGGTTTCTCTGTGCCCAGTTCCTTGTACATGATAGGGCCCCAGTATATACTAGTGCAGATAGAGCAATTAGTGCAATCAAATGAAGGATTTGGGGTTTGCCCAGGTTTTCCATCCTGAGCAACGGTCTGGAGGTTGGAATGAGCAGGTCACTTAGGGGCCAGACTGTCAGAGTCCGCATTAGGAAGCTCTGTAAGATGATGTTGGGGTTGGTTACCACAGCCTTCCTTGCCAGCCTTTGCAATTTCTGTTTAATTTCACAAGCGGCACATACATGCAAATGGTGACCGAATGGAGGCTGGAAGGGTTGGTCCGAGCAGTTTGGAGGGAAAAGCGTACCGAGGGCAGGCAAGAGTGTGTGCCTCACTGGACGATTTCAGACACGCCAGTGTTCTGAATCCCAGTAAGAGGGTTTGTCCCTGCAGTTGAGTCTTTTTAAAAACGGCTTTTTCTTACAATGTATGCTTTAGATTCTGCTTCGTGAAGGTTGCAAGAAGATTCTTGTAGCAGACTCTTTGTCCTTACTGAAGAAAATGCACCGAACTCAGATGAAAGGCGTTCTGGTCGATGGTGGGTAAAATTGAAATAATCCTATTGGAATCATATGCTTTCCTTTCAGAAGAGACAGGGCAAGTAGAAATGCTGTATGATCCCAAGTGTGTGTGTGTTTCCTTGCAGAGGAGAACATCTGTGAATCGTGCCTTTCCCCTATTCTTCCATCAGGTAAGGTGGTTGGCGGGGGCGAGATCCCCAAATGTGGGTTCATGAGGAGTGGAATTAAAATTTTGATGTTAACTAGTTACTAAATTGCATAGCTTTTGGAATAATCCATTTTAGAGAAGAATTTCAGCCCACAGCGCTCCTCAGTAGCAGGCTGGTGCTGCAATTCTTGAAGGCTGAGGTACTCACCCGGCAGGGGGTCTGCATTACTTGGGAGGTAGAGCCCAGATTGCTGGTCCCACCCCAAGAGGTGCGGGACCCCAGAATTTGCAGTTCTAACACATTCCCACGTGATGTGGATGCTACTTCAGGGGCCATTGTGTGAGATACAATGGCTTTAGAGTAAAACAAAATGAAAATCTACCATCGACAATGTTTAAATTCCAAGGGAGAAGAATCGTGTGTATCTGAGGGGAAAATTGAATAAGTACCCTCCCCTTTTCTTGAAACTTGGCTCTGCTCTGTGGTTCGAGGCACCTAACTTTCCCACATTTCAACAGAAACCTGTTCCTTGCCATCTAATCCGAACATAAGCCTGTGTTTATTTATAGTTGGCGGATCCATAGATCATCATGTGTAACCAGAGCACCTTACATAAGGAGAGGACAGAAGAGGAAATTCCTTAATCTGAACGTAGAAAGTAAAGCCAAGTTATTGGGATGCAAAAAGTGTTTTTATTGTGAATTCAGCATAGAGAGGTACTGAGAGAGCTGATGTAGGAATGTACTTAGCTTTATGGGATTAGAGAATAGGACTAGAACAGGACAAGTTGTTCCACTCAGGGCCTTTTCTGGAGGAACTAGGTTGAGGTTAAGTGTTCATGTTGAAAACTGCAGTGGGTACAGGACAAGAAGGGAGCTGCAGTCGTGGTTGCTGGTAGTGTGTCACCAGCGGTGCGGACGCAGAGGCGAGTTCCTGCGGGAGCGCAGGCGGCGCAGGGCTGGCTCCCAGCCTGGGACGGTGGTGGGGGCTGCTGGCCCCGCTGTGCCCAGACGGATGCTGCCCTGCGGGCTCATAAGAAGCAGTAGGCGAACTGGCAGGATTTTCCTAAAGCCACAAAGTGGATTCAGCATAGGGTGTGTTTCTCGGGTCTAGGGAAGGGAGGAGGTCATGCACATACTGATCCTAATTATTTGAATGAATGTGCTTGCATTCGCGGTAAGGTTGTCCCTCGTTTGTAGTCGCCACTGACGGGGAGACCAGGCACGTGACCTGGGACTCCGCCCCCCACGTTGGTACCTGCTTCTCATCTGACCACGGCCCCTCGGGGGGCATCTGTGAACACGCAGTCCTCCTAAGGCGGCTTATTGCTGGAAAATTAAACTGCAGCTGGACTTTCAGGCAGGGTGGGGTCAGGTTCTCCACCTGCTTGTTGCACTGAGTGCTTGTCTCTCTGCCGCTGTCTCCCCACAGACGCCGCAAAGCCCTTCAGCGTGGTGGCCTTCCACTGCCGCCACATGTTCCACAAGGAGTGCCTGCCCGTGCCCAGCATGGTGAGTTGGCCCCTTGGCAGCCACCGACAAGAGAGCCATGTGGTCGGGAGGGTGCGCTCTGAAGTCTACCCATCCTCCTGTGGCTTCTTGGGATTGGCTTTCTATCACACAGGAAGAATGAATTTATTTCTCAAGTGCAGAATCTCCTATATGGTAGTCCCCCCCCTTATCCGCGGTGTCAGTTACCGTGACAGTCAGTCGTGCTCTGGAAGCAGGTGCTCTTCTTGGTGAATGGCCAGGAGGTCGGTAGTGGCCTCATGCTGGCCCACAGAGCCTCTGTCACTCCGTCCCTTCCTCTCCGCATGCGGGCACCTCTCCTGTCGTCACCACAGGAGGAGTGAGTACAGTGTAAGACAGGGAGACCCCAGTCACATGACGTCCGTGACAGTGTGGTGGTAGCACTGTTTGTTACTAACCTCTTCTGTGCCTCGGTTCTCATAGGTAGGGATGCACAGAGGAAGCCTCGTGTATTTGGGGCTTGGTACTGTCTGTGGTTTCAGACAGCCACCAGGGAGTCTTGGAACTGACTCCTCGAAGATAAAGGGGGGTTACTGTGCTAAACATCAGAAAAGTACATTCAGGAGGTGAATTCTTTGAGGTAAAATCGATGACTGTCAAACTGTAGCGACACAACGTATAGTGAGAACCATTTTATAGTTTGTAGAACTTTCTTTTTTATAGTTTCTATAGCAAGACTGCTGTGTTTAAGGTCCTGTTCCTGTGTTCCCCTTGGTCACATGACACTTGTTTTGCTGTGGGGTATCCTCTGCGCCACAGTAACAGTTGGTGTAGACGGAGTCCTACACGAGCCAGCAAAATCTCCAGGAAAAGGAGTGCTGTTTCTTAGCTTCCTCCCCACCACCACCACTGCTCCCGTGGAGTATTTCTGAATAGCAGAGTAGAAGGAGCTTTCTTGTTAAAATACGTGTCTTCTAATGACCCTTCTAGAACTCTCCTGCACAGTTCTGCGGCATCTGCAGCGCCAAACACCGAGGGCCAGGAAGCGCCATTTTGGAGATGAAAAAGTAGCCTGGCTCCGTCATCCTCTTCCTCACCACTCTTCTGAAGACTGTTTTTGCAAAAACAGCAGCATTTGTGGACCCCAGTTCTGTTACAAGACTTGTACGTGTTTATGTTCTGCTCAAAGAAACATTTCTTCATCTTTGCCTGTCCCCTAGAGTTTGCTCTGTGCATCTGATGGTGTGAGGGAATACGCCTTCCATGCCTTGAAATATTTGGGCTCACGGGCTGTATTTCATTATTTGTTTGGCTCATTCTTCACTTAGGAATAGAAAAGTCAGTCTGGAAGTTAGTAATGAATTTCTAGATCCTAGTCAAACTGTCTGGCCATTGAGCGGCCTGCCGAGGGTGGCCCCAGCTGCCCACAGGCTCCACCAGGGAGCTGCCCCGCCAGCGCTCGCTGCAACTTGGCACCTGTTTCCACAGGCTCCGCTGCCGTCAGTCCTCACGTTCTGGGTTTGGCTTTTTGTTGTTGTTTATGTCATCAACTGTGATCGTCTTCTTAATAGGCATGTAATGCAACATTGTGTAAATTGTCACTTTTTCAAGGACATCTGGGAATAACCTGAGCAGGCCGACGTCATGCTGTTGTATGGTGACTGATCACATGTTCCGTGTGTCTGTCGATTGAATAAATGTTAGCTCTCCCCATTATGAAAGACTCCCTTTTAGTGGGTTGAACAGCTTCATCCTAGGATTCTGGCGCGCTGAGAGTGGAGGAGAGTTTCCACACCTTAGAGTGTGAGGGGTCGTAGTTAGCTTTTGCCATCAGGGAGGAAGAGGGACGCTGCGGAGTCTGAGAGGGATTCTCCGGAGAAATGAGACTGTCCGGTGATGGAGCGTGGGCATGACAAGTTTCCTGGAGCCTTCTCCAGAGCCTCGTTGGCCCTTGTGGAACCTAGAGAACATAGAATGCAAGGAGAGAATTCAAACTTGGAATGTTTTACAGTTACTGGCTTCATCTGTCTTGGGATAGGTTGCCATCCTCTTGCTGTGGATGCACATGTATGGAAAACACTGTCACCGCTCTTAGTCCCACCAATGCGAATAAATGCAACTTTCTGCTTTGTCGTGGGGAGGGGTGGGATGCTAATGAGTCCTGAACACAAACTGACCAGTGAACCTGGCATCTCCTCAAGCTCCCTATGCCTGCGGAGCAACATACCGTGTCCCTTGGTTTCCTGACAAAGCGACTGAATTGTGGTGATGCTGTCACAGTCACGGGTGAAGGTGAGCTTCAGAGCAGGGCTCCTTTCAAGAAACCGAGGTTGGGGGTATTCAGAGGAAATTCACAGCACATCTCTGCAGTAGAGTCTGAAAGAATGTTCTCTAGCAGACAACGGGCTTTTCCCATTAGTCTTAAATTATCCCAAAGTGGAAAGTTCTCAGCCCCCTCAGCATCATATCCTCTTATTCCAAGGCTAGCGCTCTTTCTGCTCTGTTTCCCTTTTGCTCTAACCGGAGAAATCCTTCACAAAAAAGCCTCACGAGTGAGCCCACCTTGAAACACTGGTAAGAAGCAAAACCGCTGCACTTAGGTTGGAGGGGAGGCGGTGGTTGCAAAGGCACATTCATCTCCCCTCCTCACAGAAAGCCATTCTGAGTGCGAAACAGCCAAGTTCACAGTTACTCTGTGATAGTTTTCCTTTGCTTTTAGCCCCAAGGGTTTTATACTAGTTTAAGAACGAGAAGGTCTTAACAAATTTTTAATTTGGTTGTCATCGTGTTAAACTATATATTTCACATCCTAAAAACAAACATTTGGGCAGTTACTGTGTGTCAGGTGCCATTAGAAGCACTTTGTTTACTTTATCACCCCACCTGTGAGATGGGAGCCCGAACCCTCATCGTCTTACAGGAGAGGAAGCTGGAGCACCCCGGGGCCAAGCCATCCGTGTAAGGTCAGGGAGCAGGCCTGCAGCGTCTGTGATCTTAACCGCTGTGTATTTGATTCTTTGGGGTTTTTTAATGTATTTGACCTGTTGTGGTCAGTGCACAGAAAACAAAATCCACTGTCATCACAGAAGGGGATTTATTATAAAGTAGCCAATGGCTTTACAGAGTCACCAAGAGGACTGAGGAAGCAGACAATAGGGAGAGCTTCCAGGAGCACCTGACAAAACCGACCCCGAACTGGGCTGCCCAGGGCACCCCCAGCCCACCTCCACCAGAGTTCGAGCCGCACAGAGCGTGCAGCCTGCTTTTAAGTAAACCGTAAATAAAAATACAGACGTTCCTCAGTTTCTTTTAAAGTTCACCCAGTAACACCAAATAAGGAATGTGATGTGTGTACACGCGTGTGTAGTAGACCTTTCTCTGGGCTAAGTATCACCAGCTTATTCTGGCTTCTCTGACCAAGACTCAGGCTCAGAAAACTCCACCAACTTGGATACGAAACCATCACTTGGGCTTCCCAGACACCTATCCCGGACTCGTAGCTGATCGTCACTGTGTGAAATCTGCAGCTCAGGTTGGGGCGGTTTGAATCTGCGCAATGTTCGTAGCACTGAGCTGAGTTGTTCTGCTTCCCAAAGGGAGGGGAACCGAGCGAGGAGGATTTTAGGGAATGCAAGCAACCGGGATAACCAAAGGGTTTTTAAGAAAAGACGAGTATTCACGCCTGTATGTCACCTTGATGCTGGACCCTTCTACCTCCCCCAAGGGTTCAGTAGAGTCTGGTGTCCAAACTGTCATCTGTGAGTGGGTTCTATGGGAAACTGAGGAGCTGTGCTCTACATCCGGGACCCTGAAGAGCAGGGAAACAAAACAGTGGCAGGAGGCAAGAGCTGGAGTTGACTGGGAGCAGGAGCAAAGACCTGCATCTGACAATAAGAGCATGAAAACCCCATATTTCCTGGCATGTTGGGAGAAGGCTGGTCTTCCTAAAGGGAAATGGATAAAGGCCTTGAGCCAATTTTATCTAAATGTCAAAGGACTGGCTCAATGACTTCAGTTACCATTGCGTCACAGTGTTCATGCCCTCATTGATGACATCTGCCTATGGAGTTTAAACTTAAGCTTCAGTTTAAAAAAAAAAAAAAAAAAAGATTTATTAGATGGAGCGCCTGGGTGGCTCAGTCATTAAGCATCTGCCTTCGGCTCAGGTCATGATGCCAGGGTCCTGGGACCGAGCCCTCCATCGGACTCCCTCTCCCCTTGCTTGTGTTCCCTCTATTGCTGTGTCTCTCTCTGTCAATAAATAAAATCTTTTAAAAAATTTATTAGAGAGAGAGTGTGTGTGTGTGTGTATTTGAGAGAGAGAGCGGGGGAGGGGCAGAGGAAGAGATAATCCCAAGCAGACTCCCTGCTGAGCATGGACCCCCCCCCCCCCCCGCCCCCGACCTGGGACTGGATCTCAAGACCCTGAGACCATGACCTGAGTCGAAATCAAGCGTTGGACACTCAACCAACTAAGCCACCCATGTGCTCCTTAAGCTTCATTTTTTTTTTTAACATTTTATTTATTCATTTGACAGAGATCACAAGTAGGCAGAGAAGCAGGCAGAGAGCGAGAAGGAAGCAGGGCCCCTGCTGAGCAGAGAGGCTGATGCGGGGCTGGATCCCAGGACCCTGGGATCATGACCTGAGACGAAGGCAGAGGCTTAACCCACTGAGCCACCGAGGTGCCCCCATAAAAGCTTCAATTTTTTAGATGATTTTACACCAGAAACTATGTACGTGAGGGTCACCAGGCTTTTATTGTAATCCTAGTGCTTACCCAGTTTTACGGGCATGTCTGTACATGCTCATCTCTTCACGGTTGTCTCACATCTCTGGTATCCTTATAAGAAGAGGAAATAATGGACGCAGCCATATGCACACACACTGTCGATGGCACAGGTATGGTGGAAGGAAATCGCAAATGACAGAATCGAGAATGAAAGTCACCTTGTAATATTTAATAAGCGTGGAACACTTAATGCAGATGAAATGCAAAATTCTTCGGTTACGCTCAGAAAAATGATTTGTAGAGGTGGATCAGGAAGGACCTGGTTAGCCGTCCATATGCACAGAGGCCTTAGCTAAATAGGAGGAGCATTTTGCTCTTCAGGTGGACCTAAGTTTTAACCCATGCTCTGTCACTACGACACCGTTTGGGTAAGTTAGTATTTCCAAGCCTCACTTGCCTTAAATGTAGGACGGGGTGATCACTGTACCTACTTCGGAGTAGGTTGAAAGCCTGAAGATGCTGCGTGGAAAGTGCTTAGCTAGTACAAGGCACAGGAAAAGTAACCAGCGTGTAGCAAATGCTTCGTCAATGTCAGCCTCTGAGGTGGCCCCCATAATCCCTACCCTTTACTGGGGTTGGTCAGTGACCAATAGAATATGGGAATTGATGGTACATCCCTTCTAAGGTCCACTCCTAAAAGTCACTGGGGCCTGGAATCATTTGCCCTGGAGGAATCCGGGCCATGAAGAGAGGCCCCTGTGGGGAGGTGCAGAAACCCTGCCAGCAGCATGTGAGGGAGCCCCAAAGGGATCCTCCGTTGCCAGATGAGAGCCCGCAGCCCCCACCAACAGCGTGACTGCAGACTCCTGGAAGGTGCTCAGCTAGAGCCGCCCACCTCAGCCGTTCTTGGATTCCTGATTCTCAGAAACCGAGAGAATGAATGTTTGTTGGTTTTAGTGGCTAAATATGGGGGGTAATTTGCTAGGCTGCACTAGACAACGCATGTGGCAAGGGCCTCCTGAGCATTAGCTTGCATTTTGCCAGAGTTAATCTAGGTTGCTGTTGCTTGACCACAAAGAGGGAACATCAGTGACCAAAACAAATGCAAAATTGGAACGGACTGCCGGACCAGTTTGCAGGAAGCAGAATCCTCCATTCTGCCGGTGAGAGCACTTTGTTGAGGACATTTTTTAGCAGAGGTTTTGACAAAGTAGAGAGGAGCAGCTAGGAGAGGACAGAATTTGGAATCCTACCGCGGAGGAAGAAGCGAAGGAACTGGATAGCGCATTACTTCAAAGACGTGAAAACGGAGGGGTGTACTCGTTTGCGAGGCTTACAAGTAGGTCCCGTACAAAGGGGAAACGTATGCTCTTGTTTCAGAAGTCCAGTTGCTGAGGTTAAACAAGTTCTATCAGGAAAGGTGTGAGCCCGAGAACTTTCTAACATCTGAGATGTCCAGCAACAGGTGCGTGTGCCCCCTTGGCCACATCCTGGAGGTGAGGGATGGGGGGTG